GAGGTGGGGCAGGGGCAGGCGGGCGATTCCCGGATTAAGAATGCCCGACTTTCAGACAACTTGTACTTACGAACGGACCGCCATAAAGCATATTACATACAAAAATTTGGATTGAATAGTGATTTGTAATAATGAACACACACACACTACTCCGTGATGCTCATGAAAACACTGTGCAGATTCTGCAGTTCTTTGGCTTGAGGTACAGTGCAGTAACGCATTTACTTACTTTTGTTTTTACCGAATAACTTATTTTGTACCATTTGTTCCCCTGCTTACATACAAATTTGACTAAGACAGACCTGGCTACCGGATCTCGTTCCTCACCTGGGGACTGTATGTATTCATATGGGAAGGTCTGTATGACCAAAGTCACAGCTTTACCGGAGGGCTTATGCGGGCGGGGGGGCGGGGGGTAGTGGCCTCCGCGTACGGGAGAGAATCAGCTGATTTAACAAGAGATGAGGGGGCTCCAAGCGGGCTGGAGGGAGAGGTGACCGTGGTGTGACCGCAGGAGAAATCCCAGGAGGACTCTCTTAGAAAGCAGGCACCGCTACGCGTGTGTGTCTGCCGTGCGAGGGGGACGGGAAAGGAAATTAAAACGCGTAAATACTTGTTTAACGCACACCAGCATATAAAACACACAGCAGGAAAGGGAAGCAAACTCACAGCCTGTTTAATTTAAGTGGGGGAATGGGGGATGTGTGCGAGGGGGGGTGTGTGCGAGGGGGGGGGAGCAGACTCACGTCGTAACCCCTGAGCACGGCGAGGTGGAAGGAGAGCAGCTGCAGTGGGATGACACTGAGGATGCCCTGCAGACAGTCCACGCAGTGAGGCACCTTGATGGTGCGGCTGGAGTTGCTGATGGTCTCATAGTCGTCCTTGTCACAGATGACAATGGGCCGGCCCTGCAGGCGGGCACAGACGCACGCCACGCTTAAGAGAGCGCGTCTTTATTTACGGGGGTGTGGGAGGGCGGGCCGGGCCGGCGAACCCACCTGGCGGGCCACCACCTGCTGGAAGGCGTTCTGGCACTTGGAGTAGGTGTGGTCTCTCATGATGATCATGATGACCGGCATCAGTTTGTCCACAAGCGCCAGGGGACCGTGCTTCAGCTCCCCGGCCAGGATGCCCTCCGAGTGCATATACGTGATCTCCTTGATTTTCTGCGCAGGAATGTGGAGTTTGGGGTGAGGAGCTATACATTAACGTCACAAGCGAGAAGAAGCAAACATGGAAGCAGGTCCATGGGCTTCAGCACAACACTAGTTGCCATGCAATCGATTAACACCTGCCTACAAGACATTTACAGACAGTGTGTACAGCCCTTTCTAAAGCTGTACATTTGTATCTTATGTTGCTTGTTCAGCAGCTCGCCCTGATATACTAATTTGGTAGTAGGTGGAGCTTCATCTTCACACTACAGCTCTGAAAAAAGGACCTCAAATAACAAGGTTTCATGGCTGTTCAAACAGATTGGGACCACCTGCCATACTTAATGACACTTTGGCTCAAAAGGCGGACATATGGTTTTTTTTGGGAGTTTAAAGACACAGTTATTTGTAATCAAAGGGACAAGTGGATATAGATGCATGACTCAAAGTTTCCAGGCCAGTTTACTGTACCCATGGCACGGAGCTCAGAAACATGTTCTGGCCCAAAACGTTCTTACATTTTTGATAGTTGTACAGATCAAAACATCTTCTAATCTCATTGCGCTCTTAATCACAAAGATATGCTAGAAACATTGTGAAAAGCCCTTATGTCACCTAGTCTGCACTGCCCACTGCCCTGTAACTGAGTGAGTCTCACACTGACCAGCGCCCCCTCCAGGCAGGTGGCATAGTGGTAGCCGCGGCCCATGATCAGCACGCTCTTCTGCTGGTAGAGCTCTGTGGCCAACCGCTGGATCTCATCATCCAGGCTCAGCACCTCCTTAATCAGTTCTGGAATGAACACACACACACAGACACACAGACACACACACACCATGTGTCAAGAGACATGGATACCAATGGATTAGTCTGCTATTCAAAACGAAAGTACTGGAATCAGCGGTTTTGGCATAAGGATGTCACTATACAAAGCGTTGACCAAATTTCACTGCGTTCTCGGTACATCTAGAACTGTATCCCGCTTGTTCTACAGATGTGCACACGTCACCAGGTCAGGGCTGCACCCTGGATGCTGTCTGCTTCACCCAGAGCCAGGCAGACTGCGTGGGACTGATCCAAAGATCACCATTTCAACACACTTCGGCTGAGACGACTTGCCAATCCCCCGGGGGCTTTCAAACACAGCCTGCATATATACAGCTGCAGCTGGCGGGCCCACAGCACCCCCACCCCGCCCAGGGTAGACAGGGGGAGTCCTTAAATAACCCCACTGCATAAAGCCAGAGCAATACTCTCCCAGTCATCACATAAACATGGAGTGAGAAATCGATAATGCTCTCCAAGCTCCTTCACACGGGACCGCGGAGGCAGTGGTGCACAAGTCTGTGTCTGTGGGTGTGTACAAAGCTTTAAGCGCATGTATGAGTTCCTGTGGGCACACGCCTTTAAGCACATGTATGAGTTCCTGGTACCGGGCAGCATGCGAAGTCCCTGGATGATCTCACGGCGCCGTGGCTGCATGGAGATCCGGTCAGCACACATCAGCAGCGCGAACATGATCAGGGCCACAAACTGGCTGGTGTATGCCTGCAAGACAGGGGGAGAGAATCAGGAGGGGGGGGATCAGGGGGGGCGTGTAGGCGTGCACAGAAGCAAACCCCCCCCCCCCACCTAACCTGCAAACTGCAAAACAAACAGCTAAACAGGACGATATTTAAAGCTTATGTGCTTTACGCTCATTGAGAGCCCATTATTATATATTCCTTCTCCTCCTCTTCTTCATGTGATTAAACAGGCTGGCGATACGATGCTGCTAGGATGTGTCAGCATGAGCAGGTGACGTTACGGTGGGGATCCTCGGTGACACGCGGGTTCTGCCTCTTCCACCTCCACATCTCAGCTCCCTCAGTTCTGTGTCCTGCAGGCCAATCCTCCTCGCCATCATCCGCAGATAAACTATCCTAAACATTTCATAGCAAAGAATCTTCCTGTCTAGATCCTCAAGGTCTTCCGTCGCTGGTCAGGGTCCCACGGAGTGTCTGCGTGCTCAGTTCATCCTCCAGTGCTGTATACCCCCCCCCCCCCCATCCCGCTCCTGCCCCACAAAGATCCTGAAAGGATGCAAGCCGCCACATGAGCAGCGACGCGGGTCCTGACAGGTCGCCAGCCAAAGCCGTGACCGCGAGGTCCTGCCATCCCGCCTGAGGCGGACCAGAGTGAGCGGCCCATTAGCCCGTCACACAAGATCCCAGAAACCCCCACGGGACGCAGGCCGGAGGCTCCATCACACCCACCTCTCGGTTCAGGAGGAGATGGAAGAGGGATGGAGTGGAGAGACAAAACCGGCAAGCTGAGTGCCGCCGTCTCGCAGCCCTCCAGAGAGACCGGACGACCCCGACAGTCCATCTGTCTGCATCGAGCAGCTTAACAAACCTCCACTGCTGGCCTCTTCATCCATTTCAACCGGCTCAATTTCCGCTATTAGCATTCATATAGTCACGCGCCATAGTGTTTAAGATGTAAGAAAATGGGATCTGAATGAAGAAGCAGTGAGTGTATGAAAGCACGTTCTCTCCTAAGAAGCGGATACACAGGATGGGATGGCTTCCAGATGTGGAGGGGAGGCTGCAGCACCTTTGGGACTGAGAAAGGCCCGGAAGGAACGTCTCCAATCCGCTTACGCCAAGCCAAGCCTTGGCCCGGCTCCGCAGCTCCGTAATCAGAGATGGGCCCACGCTCACTGCAGCTGGTGCCTGTCGGCTAGCAGCGGTTAGCAGCGGTTAGCTCACCTGACATGAGCACGGCCCCGTTAACTAACCGGCACCGGGGTTCCAAAGAAAGGGGCCCATAATAAAATGCGTTTCCCGTATGAGACACCGATCGCGGGTGCATTTCAGGAGGCGCTTGTCAAGTTTCTGCCGGGGCCCGTCGCTGCCAGCCAGCCAGGACAGCAGGCTGGCATAGAGCCCTAACCTGGACGCTGATCACTACCCTGAGCAATGCAGGACGGTGATTATACTGGCAGGTGCTCGGTGACAGGCCTCCCCAGGGGAAAGCAGAGGGACCACCCCCACTGTCAGAAGCCGCAGATCCTGACAACGGCCAACACCGGATCCCGAAGAGCCGCAGTCATTCACTGGCCAGTCACCGTCACTCAGAGGCCGTACTGAGCAGGGAGGAGCGACAGCTGTCCCAAATTCGACACCCCCCTGTCGTTCCTCAGTGAGAGGCCGGGGAACCCCGTAGCACTGCCTCACCTTGGTGCTGGCCACGCCGATCTCAGGCCCGGCGTTGATGTGCACCCCGCAGTCGGTCTCCCGGGAGATGGAGCTGCCCACGGTGTTGGTGATGCCCACGGTGAGTGCCCCCCTCTCTTTGCAATAGTGCAGAGCCAGGAGACTGTCTGCAGTCTCACCTGCAAAGTGCGAGTTTGGGGTCAGCGGGATGGGGGGGGCGGGCATGTGGAAACGCAGTGCCCTAAGGATCCACATGCTTCATACGGCACCGGCCTCCCGGCCAGGGGAGGGGAGACAGAGGAAAAAACGACGCCCCATCTGAAACCCCAACAGCGACACAAGCCTCATGGAAGGAGACATGGAAGCCAGATGGCAGCAGCTTAATAAAAGGCAGGGAGGCAGCAGATATATCACAAAAAATCTCCATCTTTAATCCTTATGTTGGCTTGTCTGCAGGGTAAAACCAGCAGAAAAGCACCTGACACTGTCAGCGAATGAGAGACGGGGGACAATGTGCCCCAGTGTGTGCGCTATGGTTACAGGAGTAACCTCAAATCTGACTGGTCGATAGCCATCCACTGGTGTAACCCTACAAAACTGCATGTGAAGAGGCATCTGCCTAGCCAATGACAACACTAAGCAGCTTGAGGAAAAAGAGACAGCATCTCACCTGATTGGCTAATGAAAAAGCACACATCGTCACGGAAGACGGGCGTGTTCCTATCCAGGAAGTCGCTGGCCAGCTCCACCATGACGGGCAGCTCCGTCAGCTCCTCCAGCACCTGTCGGGTCTAAGGGGAAGATGGTGCGCAGGTCAGCGTGAGCACGGCTTTGCACGTGCCGCGCGTCGCACGGCGTGTCGATGCAGGGGGCGCTCACCGCTACGCCCGCGTGATAGCTCGTCCCGCAGGCGATGACGATCAGCCGTCTGCACCGCTGGATCTCCTTGATGTGGTCCTTCAGGCCGCCCAGGGTCACTGTGAACGCAGTGGCAGGTCAGTCTGTGCTCAGGTGGCGACGTGCGAGACGTGTGAGACACGGCGACGCCCGGCCAACGGCCACTACAGCTGCGTGAAGATGCCCTTCAAGTCATTCCATTAACACAGAGGCAAGCAAAATAATAATAATAAAAAAAATCAAGTAGTGGAATTTGAGAAAGAGGAGATGGTTTAAATTGGCCTGGCTGAATGTGCGCTCATTCATAAACAAACTTTTTTCTGGAAATGGCATTAGCAAACACTGCAGTTTAATTTGATTCCTGCCTGTGACTATGCTTGACAGTTTAATCTGGTTAATCAAAAGGTTTATTTCATTGCATAATTTCAAATTTTACACATTTCAAATTCCATTCAAGCCACTGAGATATTTTCAGCATATATTCATTTTCTGTACAGTGAATATAAAGATAAATGTTTTTAAAACAGTCCTGTCTGTTTTAATTTACAGTACAAGCTAAAAACTTTAGCCATGGACGTATCCATGGCAACATCTCTCATATTTTACATGGGGGGGAAAAGCCTAACAATCTGTGAAATCCAGGGTCTCTGCAGATGCCACTCTCCCTGACCAATCAGATGCAGATTTTATTATTTTTTTTAAGTTCCAAGAGCTTCAAACAATTACACTGGGGGGCAGGAATTAAAATCTGAATCTACCATACGAGTTGATCATCTTCTAACATATGCACTTCAGATATGCTTTATTTGCAGGGGGGGGTCACATCAGAAATAGCAGGCAGCTTCTCCACACAGCAGAACACAAACACACCTAAACCATTTCAGCTGTTTGCACCAGATACAATCCTCCCCTCTTCCAAATGGACCGGCAGCACTGAGCCAGTGTGCCGCCAAGGCAAGTGAATTACATCATGTTTCCACTGCCGCTCAGCAGTGGGTCCGTCCCACAGGAAGCTGCCCCCCCCCCTTGCCGGGGTATTATATTCCACCGGTGTCAGTCACTGTATGAAAGGCTGGCACTTAGGGTCCGGATCACACGCGGAGTGAAGAGCGGCATGAACGCGTGTGGTTAAAAAAACCCTCCGGATGGTTCCACAGTGATTTCAGAATTGCTGCACTGGAAGTCGCCAGATGACTAATGAAGAAAGAGCCTCCTGAATGTGCCAAATTAGCATTATACACATCCAAAAAATGTTAACGTGGGCATACTTGCCAAGATTGTAATCGATTCTACAATGACACCAAAAGCACAAGGGTTTTCATAAAAATAATGATGCTTAACTTTTGTTCTCCTCAGAAAGTTGCTATGGTGACTGGGACTAGATGCTGGCTTTTGGTTGCTGGATTTTCTTTCAAGCATGTATACACAGTGCATCAAACTAACTGCAGCACTGCAGCACCCCCTACAGGCCAAATGTGTCCCTTTATAATAAGGATGGTATTATTTGGGTGCGACGCAGGAAATAAGTGAGCTGTTGGCTACCAGGCGGTTCGGGATGCATTTTAAGCACAACTGGATGGCTGGCAAATCCAAGCACAAAATTTGCACCTAAAGTGGTTTATGTATGAGCCTGGAGGGCAGGTAACAACACTGCTGATGGCCTGTGACCTGGAAAGTTACCAGATTATATCTCAAAAGCCCATTGAAGCTGAATCTCTTCTATGAATGTATTTAGCTTGAAAGTAGCGTAAAGGTTTAAGCCATTTCCATCCAGCCTGAACAAAGCTACAAATCAAATAGGCTCCAGAGGTCTTACCGCTGTTGTCGTCGAAGTTGACCCTCCCCCTCATGGTGTTGATGACGGACTCCGGCTGTTCGAAGATCTCCTTCTGCATATAGGAACTGTAGTTTCCTGTAGGGAATCACAAGCCACAAAAAAACAATACCATGAATTTCCAATCTTATTTAATCTACTTGTTAATACTATTATACCATTACATAACCATAATATTTTTCCCTGTGAAGGCCAGTTTGCCACAACTAAATTCCAGTAATGTGTGGGCACCACCATTTGGAATAGCCACGAAAATGAACGCGTTAGAATAGGGAATAAAACCCTTTTCAGTGTCATTTTGTACTAGTGCTTACAAATAATTGACTGAGAACATCAGATATGTTTTCAGTCTGCTGCTTATTCAGGAGCTACGTAATAACCCTTCTAGGAAGGAAGGAAGGAAAAAAACCTCGGCCTTCTCCGTTTCCAAGAAGTGACATTTAGCAGACAAGAGTAACCATTCTGCAGCCTGCCTCTGACTAATTTGGGTCATGTGAATTAGTTACTTCACCAGAAGCCTCAGGAACACAGCTAGAAAGGAAGAACTTTGAATGAGCAAACAGTGATGGAATTTTACGTAAATTCAGAGCCATGTCAGGTCACATAGAGCCCTCTGGTGGTTAGAAAAAGAATAGCGGTCACGTGCAGAATCATCAAATATAGGTATTTCTGCTATAAAGGTATGCATTCCTGTAAAACCGTGCATTACACAAAAATAACAGGGCTTATGGCGAAAGAGGGGGGTGGGCCGGATAATGGTTTGGTCAGACATTGAGTTAACTGCTGACTTAATGTGCTACATTCAAACCGCCTCCATTCATCCTTTTTCCACACACTTATGGCGATGCAGCAGATTATGTGAGAATTACCAGGGATGCCAGGGGTACCCCCCCCCCGCGAAAATGATACAGGTGCATCTAGATACATGGTTTAAGACAATACGAAATAAAACATTTAAAATGGGACAATTTCATTCAGCAATTTGATTTAAATGAGACACACTCCAGCCAGCCGAATAGTTATGGTTTAGATCAATTCAACAGTCCTGAAGTGTCTTACTAATGAAATAGAAGAAACTTTTTGAATATGTTTTTAATACAAGTTACTGTATTTATTTTGCACTTCAAAACACCAACTGAAGTTGATCTTAAAATGTTACAGAAACCGATTCGTCATCCCCTTACCCATAATGACCAAATTTCTTATTCCAAAATGTAAGCCAGATCTGGGGTTTTTACAATGATGAACACACAAGCTCTCAGGGACAATGTCAGAACATAGAATGTATTCTATATTCTCCCTATTACAGGCAAACTTCACAATGACTTGTTCTTCTTCCAGCAGTTTTGCAGAAACTCGGTTGAGATTCCCGATTTAAACCTCTAAATCTCCATTATGCCCCTAAAAATGAGCACTTCCTGTTTTGCTGTCGATTATACTGAGACACGGTGGTGCATCTTCATTAATGCGGCGACGCTCCTACCAGCGCTGCCTGAATCAGCTGGCAGGTTAATGTCGTATCGTGACAAGCAGAGCATGTGGCCTGACTAACCTGAGTATTGAGTGCATTCATTTCTGCTCATTCCGGGATGTTACTCCACATCACAACGCAAACACGTCAGTGTTGACATTGCACACAAGCCAACATCTCTCCCCAGTTTACCAAATCTCATATGAGCATAACAGCAGAATTGCTTGCGTGTTGAGATCATTTTTAATTTCAGCGGCTGCTGATCTGTACTAATGGAATGAATACATCTGTAGAACATACAACAGCCTGAAGTAACTCTATAAAGGCACGTCCATTGAAAAACTACGCTGTTAATAGATTTTAGGCTCTGTAGTGCACTGCTGCTTGTCTGAATCAAGCTCCATTCACCTAAACTTCCACAATAACAGTTAACTAAAGGCTCTTGTGAAGGATTTGGCTGCTCTCAAAATTGGTTTTGTGCTTAACCCATTCCAGAGATTTTTCAATTCTTTCTCTCTAAGACCAACTGCTACGTGTTCCCATTGAAAATGAAAATAAAACAGGCTTTGTTTAAGCTTCAGATATTGACAGTTTTCTCCAGGGCTTCACAGCACTAGAACTGTTGGGGCCCAATAACATTATTCATGAACGCTTACTGGCTCGACGCTGATTAAAACGCACTGAGCGGCTGTATCCGGCAGGACTGTGGAGGATCAAAACAGCCTGTTTGTTTTGGCAGCGACCCTAACAACCCAGACAGAGATACCACAGTGCAGTGAACCGGGCGAGCAGGAGGATGGACCTCTGCACAAGCGGCAGACGCAGTGGGCTCCTCCCACTGGGAGAACGACACTGAAAGCAGGAAGGAGACAGCAGGAAACGGCCACAACTGCAGTGACCTGGGATGTACAGCAGATAGTTTCTGCTGGCAAGTTTGGCGCTCATGCTGAAACACCCTTTAAAAAATACAAGCTGTTTTTCAAATATTTCTGGCAATTATTACACTTACATTTGTCTGTTGGTAATGCCTCTAATGCCACTATGTCTACTGTAAGTGCTTTGGGAATTATTTTCCCTGCCGGGAAGAGACTACACGGAAATAAACTGAACTGCAAATCCCAGAAGGCCACACTCTGGTGGACACCATGGGCACGGACATACCCTTCATGATCTGCTGCAGCTCCATCTGCAGCGTCTGGATGGCACGCGCAGGGTGGTCCCCGGCCGTGCGCTTCATGCGGTGAATGGACAGGCGTCCGTCCGACACCGCGGCCACGTCGTCGTCCTCCAGGAAGATGACGCGGTTGGTGTGCTCAATCACGGCGCTGCCGGGAGACACTATGCCGTATTACCCTGAATATAGTTGCAGTGCCTTCCAAAACCCAATGGGGAAATTAAAGCTAAACGGTTTTCGCAAAGGATGGAGTGAGGGCTTTATGGGTGACCTTCCATTAAGGCATCAGGTAGCCCACATTAGTCATGCATAACAACGAGGATGTTCTGAGAAATGCATTGTTAGATGGTTTTGTCATTGTGGGAACGTCACAGAGAGCGTTTACATACTACGCGTTGCACAGCATATCGTTTTACAGGAAATAATTTTTTCTAATTATATACTAACAATAACACTTAAAAAAAATACAGTATAATAAATGCACAAAGCAGTTATATAGTTCTTTATCATCAAGTATAATGTACTGTACATAATTCTATGAGCTATTCCTTTATACGACTGGCAGTGCAGTGGATTTGTTTACACCAGCATCACCATAAACACGAGTAATGATTGTGCAACGTCGTCACGACAGGTTTCAGCTCCATTATAACCTTTAGGGAGCCACGGCAGGAAGGCAGACCTGGCGTCAGAAGCAAAGTAGTACTCCACAGCCTTCTCGTCAACGGGGAAGAGGCAGGTGTCCTGGTCCATTCTGGGCAAGGTGGAGCAGCTCTTCTTATCCTTACCAGCTGGGGGGGGGGAGACACAAGGGAGCTTAGCACTGCTGCCTCCCCACAGAGCTGCACCACACACATACCGGGGGGGGTTTAAGCACACGAGGTACTGGGAGATGTGCCGAGATCTCACAGCAACTTACAGGAGCAGTAGAGGATGGGGATGTGGTCTGTGGACAGCTTGTGATCGCTACGCACGCCAATGAGCAAGGGCCCCCCTCTCCTGGACAGACAGACACAAACCCCACATTCAGGCAACACCAATACATAAGGAACTTCACAGTCCTTCCCAGGCGTCGGACAGCAGTCTTCCCATCACAGTCCTGGTAGTCTACAGTCTTCCCATCACAGTCCTGGTAGTCTACAGTGTCCTGCTTTTTGTTCAATGCATTTTGTTCAATGACTGGACTGTTGACTGAATGAATTACCAATAGAAGTCTCACATCACCCATGAAGATACAGCTGTTCCACTACTAAACAAGTTCAATTTAACGCGAATACAAAAATTAGAGCCTTATTGTCACCTGTGCTAATTCAGGTCACGTGACTGATAAGGCAAAGAAACAATGCGGATGTAGGACAGCAAACGAAAAGTAGCATCCTTACAAATTCAGCAGCATATGGCTTACCTGGTCCCAACTGCCTCACCAGGGTAATGGACACTCTTGAACACCAGGGCAAAGGCTCCTTCCTGAAACAGGGGGACACACATTTTTGGTGCTTTAGCTGGTCTTCCCATCCCCCCAAGACAAGAGCTAAGGTGCCCGCCTGAGAACCTACCAGCTGCTGAGTCACCCTCTCCACCAAGGTGGCAAAGCTGATGTCGCCGCTCTCGCGGTTGTCGTACATGTACTTCACAAGCTTGGCGATGGTCTCGGTGTCCGTCTCCGACTCGAAGTCGTAGCCTTTGCTCTCCTGGAAATGATGACAGGCAGCCACATTCAAGCTCACATCTGAGACGTCTACGGTAAGTCGCTACATCGTGACAAACCACAGGTGAGACAGTATGGAAATCAGGCATCTCGCCATGATGGCTGTATTTACTACCAAGAGCCATGGGTCTAAACAGACAAAAATCGACGTGCCGCTTACCAAGAACTTCCTCAGGTCTTTATAATTGGTGATGATTCCATTGTGAATCACAATGAACTCTGTGAGGAGGGTAAAAAGAAATCATGGACAGAGTGAGGCTGCAACTCAGACGGTTCAACTCGTCCTATTGAGGCATTTGTCAACATATGTCATATCTGACTGAGTAAATTCAGCTGTGACTACTCCTTAGGAAGGTTCACTGCAGCTCTCAAGTCGTGCGAGAAACGCATCAGGATGAGAAGAGAATCCGTTTGGCTGAAGCTGCAAGTTGGTCGGGGGCGGGGGGTTGGGGTTGGAATATCATGCCACAAGCTTCAGCGAGACTGACCGTTTCCCTTGTCGGATCTCTGGGGATGGCTGTTAACGGGGCTGGGGGCGCCATGGGTGGCCCAGCGTGTGTGGGCGATGCCCAGGTGGACATCAAACTCCACATCCAGGTCGAGGTCCTGCTGCTCTGCAGTGCGAGAGGGGGGGGGGGCACAGAACAGGTGAACACAACCAGAGAGACACAGGACATCAGGAGGTGTCCGTGTTGCTGCGTCACCCCCATTTGTTAATTATATGGAATAGTCCATGCCGCAGAAAACAAATTTTATGAACTGCATGCATTTAATTAGCTGTATAGGGGCAGGTGCTGAAAAACTGGTGCAGCATAAACCAGAAAGAAGAAATGACTAACACACAAAGGAAAAAAAAAAGATACGGTAAATAAATATGCATGCAAAGTTACAGTACAGGGTAAGGCGGATTCTCCAGGAACTGACAATAGCAGCTTCAAAGGTAATATGAAACCGTTTCATCTGGATTTGCATTTGGGTTCAATTTTCATACGACTGTTGTGTGAAGCTGGTCCACTGTGGACCACTGGCAGAGAGCACTAAGATCATTTATCATGGCGCCAAAACAACCATAGCGTTTGTTCAACACTGAAAACACAATGGATTAGAATGGGAAAAAAAAAGAAACCCAGGAACAAGCTTAAGGGGTAAAATAGCGCGAGTTATTAATATCTTCTGCATACACAGACAAGGAAAAGTACAGAGACTTACTGTGGATCTCCTCGTCCAGGGCTTTCACTTTCCCACGCTGCTTTATCAGGTGGATAGCCTTGCAATTGGTCTCCCATTCTTTGCTGTTCCCCCCATCGATGCCGACACCTAACGGAGAGAGGGATCGCATGAAGAAACATTAAATGGACGTTACATTTTTAAAGACTTCAAGACAGAACCAACGGGGAACCACTTCAACCACCACCACCTGGCACTCATTACCACTCTGACCAGCAGAATCTTAGCACCCACCCATGAAGAGAATCAGAGTGCAACATTGCACTCCAGATAAATCAAGGTTTCGGCACCAAAAGTGCCAGATAACCCCCCCCCCCGTGGGGGTGCCCGACGCTCCCACCTGCAGAATCATATCCTCGGTATTCCAGGCGCTGAAGGCCCTTGATGAGGATCTCCAAGATCTCACGGCGCGTCCGCGGCACGTGATAATTCAGGTAGGCGAAGATTCCTGTGGCAAAAATAACAGAAGGACATGGGTAGGTACCGCACAGGTATCCACAGAATGAAGGCAGAGAATGCCAAGATCAGATGCCCTTTAACAGGGCTAGACTACAATTCAACACTGACTCAGTGCCTTCAACAACCAAGTCAGCCAACATGCAAATCAGGGCTGATGAACCACCTTCCCTGAGCAATACATTTTGTTTTTGGTGTCCATTGCTGACGTCATGCTGTCTCATACAAATGTTGCCGTCACAAATGATCATATCTAAGATTGATAAATACACTTTCCAGTCTCTTCAGTTAAGGGTCAGAAAAATAACACACAGAAAACCACCTTTCACATTCGTTATCTACCCACATTCTTTCCAAGACCAACTCCTTCACTACATTAATATCAACGTTAACGTAATATCAAAGTAATGTTGACGCAGACACTTCGTAACAAAAGAAAGAAATGTTAAAGAACCAGAGTATTTTCAAGGTCTAGTTCTTCCAGTTCCTCGGAAAGAAAGGTCATGGAATGTAGGAAGTAGACAGTGACTCACAGCACACTATGTTGATGCAAACAAGCGAAAGAAAAACTTAGAAAAGTATGGAGAAGGCGAACAGCACCTCCGCTGTGCTCAAAATTAAAAATACTGCTTGAATGGGCTTTTAAGACACTGAATCACAGGTCTCGTAACAGCAAAAAGAAAAAGCTTGCCAGCAGAGCTGCTCTTTTGCCCGCCCCCTGCTGGTCAACAGTGGTACACCTTAGGGGATGAACAGCAGACTATATTTATGAACAGGGCCTTCATAAAATACTGCCTGCAAACAACACAAGACTGGAAAAAAGCCAAGTCACAGGAGGTACAGGCACCTCTGCTGTCCAAGTCAGCTAAACCAAACTCGGGATTAATCAAGAATACGGCGGAGACATCGGCCTGAATGGCAGCCATGCACCTGGTCTCCTTCCAGAGTGGCAGAACAGAGCCCCAACTGAGAGCAGGGAGGGAAGGGTGGCCCAAACAAGGGGGCAGCAAACAAAAGCCCTCTTTGTGTGGGAGGGGGGAGGTTCCTAATGTGGTGAGAGGCACAAGTTCCAAACACAGACCTCACATCATCCCCTGAAGATGCTGATTGTAAAACAGTAAGAACCCTCAAACGAATCCAGATGAGCGATACAGTTTATTTTTTTTGGGACAGACAGTACAGCTCTTTCCATTTGATGCCAGACTCCCTGCAATCTTTATCTGAACCTGAATTTTATTAAGAGCTCATAAGCCTGCAAAATTAACAAGGCCAATTTACCTCCCACACACACACACACACACACACACACACACACACACACACCTTAGGCCCCTCCCAAACAGAACTGTTTCAGCAAAGGAATGCACTAACGGAAAGTGAATCAATACACTTCTCTGTGTGAAGCTTGCTACACAAGTCTTTAGGCCTGGGTAAAACAGGGTAAAAACCTAACTGTTGTATGACAATCGTCTTGAAAGACTCTACAAACAACTATAACTTAAGTTAAAGTACCTGTGCAATACAGAACATTATAGAAACCTGACTAACATCATATTGGATGAATGTGGAAGAACGCATTTTCCTAATCTGCATTTTACTCCCCAATATAAAAAGCACACAATTATACTAATGACAGAAGGAAGTCAGGAAATTGATGTTAACCTACCGGTGGGGGTTACAAAACCGTGCCCAGCTTCAGTTAAAAGACATTTTTATACATAAATTTATTAGAATATTATTTATGTATTTAATTCAAATTTAGTTAAATGAATGAACAAAAAATGCATCACAATACATGTAATATATAATATACTACTGTTTTCCCCATTCATTTTTTAATTAACGTTAAACGCCGTCATGCCGCATCATTACATACATCCTGAGACAGACAGGCAGGGTACAGCGACTATAACGTTAACTGGGACCACAACAGAAAACACCAGATACACATTATAAGACTGAAATCATAGCCGCTGCACGCCACCCACATCGGGTCATACTCAATGCAAGCGGCATTACTCTCGCTAGCCCTCGTTAGCCGTGTTACCTCCGGCACGTCTGTACACCTAGTTAAAAAGCTGGCGCGTATCGCAGTAGGAATGACAAACAAGCTAGCAGAGGGATGGGAATATAGGGTAATATGTCGTTTTTTCCTTCGCTTGGTTGTTGACGCTAATGGTAAACCGAGTCACGGTAAACACGTTAGCAGGCTAGCTAGCTACCCAAGAGAGACACCAAGGACCCATTCATAGCTAACCACGGCTAGGCTGCAACAACTGAATGACAGTATGGTTTATTCAAAACATACATAAATATCTGCAAACTGATACATATATCATTGTTATTTTTCTATTTATCGGGACAACTTCACTTACCACACATGACTACGTTCCAGTCTCCAACTAAAAATCTAGTTCCTCTTCGGAATGACTATAGTACACTAGACCCGCCTTCTAAACTTCTATTGGACAGAAGCCAGGGCGCGCCTTAAACGAGGCCTTCCGATTGGCGCAGAGGATGTCATTCTGGCCACTACCTGTCGACGACGGCAATTCAGACGTGGCAGCAGGATACACGCATCCGTAAGAGACGCCGGTGACCCACCCGAGGAGACCCGCCCTCCACCCTGAGTCTGGCGTTAGAAAAACGAGAGCTTGCTGCGACGGTGTCAGAGTCACGTGTTTTACAATAAGGAATCCAAAAAAGTCACTGGGCAGCACGATAATGTGATGAATGTCACTTCACGTCAGTATTAACATTGCCTCGTCAGTGCGATTCGATACCGTGACCCATAGATAAAAATCTGAACGAAGCACATGTCCAGCACAGTAACCAAACTCACAACCTGGAATACAGCATAATATCCCGGTAATGTTTAACACTACTACCGCTTTATATGCCTCCATATGTAACTTTGAGTTATTAGTTTATTTGCCAGTGTCTGGTGCTTCTGGAGATTGTCCATTTATAGAACCCTTTTCTATACCAGCTTGTCCTCTTCAGAGCCGCGGGGGTCCGGAGCCTATCCCTACCTGCGCTGGGCGGGAAATAACCCAGGACGGGGCGCTGACCCATCGCAGTTCGGGGATTATAACCATTACTTCGAACCCAAATTTTAATGGAATTAAGAGCGGTTCCTAAAATTAACCAAGTAAGTTTTATTAGTGAAAAGATTGATGAATAAAAAGTGTTTAATCCCAATCACTGTGACTTGTTTTTTTTTTTACTTTATTAAGCAATCTATGAATTAGTATTTGCATTATTTCTCTTAATTTTCACAAATCTTATACATTTTCAGATAGTACCCTTTTATCATCCTGTAATACTTCACATGAAAGTTACTAGAGTACTTTGTAAATACAGCTATAGTTTGAGGTACATCACCCAAATATCTGCAAATAATTTTCTGATTACTAATTTTATAAGACAACAAAGGACAAGAGACCAAGTGTATGTGACTATATCTAGTGACATTCTCTTCGTATATGCTTCTATGGTCGTCATGGAAAACAATTCTCTTGAGGACCTTTACTTCTTTCAGTATGGTTTGCAGCAAGTAATGTTATAAAAATGAATGTGGAAAATATTGTTTGCAGGTTTTGCAAAAAAAAAAAAGCAGAAAAGGCAATAAAAAGCCAAGGTTTTAGTTAAGAATGCCACTGCTGTTAAATTCTCCAGTCATTTGACAGATAAAGTACGTGTACTAAGTGACAGACCACTGATGTCACACTGATATGTCACTGCTGCCTGCTCAGCAATCTCATGCATGAAACACAGCTGTGGTCTTCCAAGCGAATACGTCATACTGCTCTCCCAATAGTCCGAAATGCACACAAGGAGGTCGCTGTCGATTTTGAGACGTCTTTGAAGCCAGGCCGATGATGGCAGTGTCTGGATGCAGAGTTTGGACTGGCTGCCAAAACACTCATGCCTGTGCATCCCGCTCTACTCCATCGTCATCAGTCACCTGCAACCACACAAGATGGGGTCAAGACTCAAATGAGCAGACAGGGCAGCGAAGGTGCACAAGGCCCAGCTTCACGACGTTAAAGCCCTGTCCAACCCCAGTACTCACCTGCTCCACGCCCTCTACCTCCGGAACGTAGAACTGCAGCATGTTCTGAACGCCCCTCTTCAGCGTCACGATGGAGCTGGGACAGCTGGTGCAAGAGCCCTGGAGCTTCAGCTTCACAATGCCGTCCTCGAAGCCACGGTACAGCACATCGCCGCCGTCCTCCTGCACTGTTGGCCTGGGGAGGGAAGGCCAGGTCTGAGCTACGAAGACGTGCAGATGGAGCACCGGATCGTCGCCCCTCGCCGCCCCCTACCTGATCCGAGTGTCCAGCAGCTCTTTGATCATGGCGACCACCTCGTCGTCATCCTCACAGGGGGCTGCAGAAACACAAATGCGGGTGCCGCCCATGACCAAATCCTGCTTTCTGGGAGATCAGTTTCAAAGTATAAGCCAATAGCTCTTAACCCTTTCAGGCTCAAATTAAGTTTTAGTAACGACAGGACAACCAAGTCCTGCAGTGGTACTTCTGAGTAAAAAAAAAACTCATAAAATATGTATGTGGGGTAATAAGGTAGTTAGTTTTTAACTGTTGCAAATCAGCAACGCCTGCCTTGAGAGGGTTAATCCTGTTCAACCCACACTGTTTTCAACCTACCATATTCAATATTAGCCTATTAAGGACCATTTAAGCCTGACTGAGAACCACTGGCATACGTGGACAAGAGCAGCGCTCAAGGCTGGGAGCCGTCACCTGTATCCGGCCGAGGCGCGTCCTCATTGACGACGGGCAAGCCCGACGTGAAGAAGTCCATAATGGTAGCAAAAACATCTGGCTTAATCACTTTCCACTCAATATCTATATCTGTCTGTGGGAGTAAGGAAAACAAACAAACATTTTAACTGTTAGCCAGCTGCAGCACTTTCCTTTACTTTAAATACCATTTATAAGTCTGATTGTGATCATACATAACCCTGTTTATTTTGTAAACAGAATCGCTGACTTAGGCTGTGACTCAGCATGTTACCTTGGTAATAGTGATAAAATCTGGACCCAGGAAAACACTCTTCACACCGTCGATTCTGAAGAGCTGTCTAAAAGAAAGTGGACCGAGAGGTGCAGAGTCAGTTCAAGAACTGAGAATGTGCAGAATGAGAAAATGGCATTTATCAGATTGTTTTTCCATGTTGCTGTATGGTAATTTCCTTTTTTTACAGAACAGTAGTTGGTCTGTAAGACCTTTAAATATAAATGAGAAAATAAGAGTCTTTTTGTTTATTTTAAATGGGGAAGTCAAGGTCATTTTATCACTCTGACATATATTATTGCACACACCTTTATTTGAATTTAAGATTCCACCATATTCATGCTGAAGTAGGTTCCTGTTAATTATGTGCTGCATCTATTAACAGTTGTTAATTCCTGTTAAAGAATCTTGTGAAATTTCTGTTGCTAAATCGCTCAACTCTTCGGACCAATTCATTAAAATAAAACTAGTTTTTCCTCAGTTGAAATGTCCTTATTAATCATTTGAAAGGTACAAAGTCACATGCTTGTGTACCTAGCCAATGGGGAGCAGTGTGCATCGCGGGGGCTGGCGAAATCCAGTGTTCCCATTTCCAGCACCATGCGACCTGGCAGGAACTTCAGGCTGTTTGGATTTGGAGTGTCTTGGGTCTGAATGAACATGGTCCTCACTACAGATTTGGAGGAAAAAAAAAAAGACTTTTCATGCAGACAGTGAGCCAAACAGCTTTCCTTTGGCCCCGTTACATTTTCACAATGCCTCTTGGGGGAGGATAGTGTTGCTTCTCTCCGTAATTGAGTGCCTTATTTAAAAAAAAAAAAAAGTAATTTGCTGCCTTAATGAAATCCCCATGATTAAAATCCAAAGAGTGATAAGTGGAAAAGAAGCAATTCGTACCTCACCAGAAGACCAAACATAAAAGCACAAACTAATAAGCCAGCAAAATACGAGAATAAAATTCCCATAGAGACATATTGTGACATTTTTAAGTTGTGGAATTTAACATATTTCAGAGCAAGGAGGGTCCAATCATTCCCATTACCCAGAATGCCCCTTCCATTACCCACATAATTATTGCATCACTGATGATCTACTGTACTAACCTGGAAAATATGTGGTGGGCATAAGAGCCCATCTTGCTTTTCTCCCTTTTTGTGTTGCCCAAAGCAGCCTTGGACCTTGACAATCAGGAAGGGATATGGGACGTATCCTATGTGGAGGAAAGGTATGGACAAGTTTAACCAAACATTTACCTCTGAGACCCAAAGTTCAGACTAGGGTAAGTCTTTTTGAGCCTTCCTGCACAGCAAGAAGCTGTTTATCCACTTAGTGCCTGATTTACAATTAGTTCCAAGCAAAACATGACAACCTACTACATTAACACTTACTACTTAATACTGCCGTTTAAATTTCCTGCTGTATTAAGAAATTCAATGGTTTGTACAGTTTACTCAAAAAGGTAAACTCGGAAGATTTTTTAGTGTAAGTTACTGTGCCATCAGTGGAAACAGTCTGATTTCAAAATCAAGGCCTTGCTTGTTTGGTTCAAAATATTGACCATTTTATGTTCTTTTCAGACATATATACAAATGAATAATTAAAGTTAATTTACAGACAGCAGCTGCCTGTACACGGTTGATTAAGTGTTGATGAACAGAATATGTGTATGTCTGTATCCCTAAAAACTTAAAGATTCATGGAAGCCTGATGTATTCCACACACTACGGGATTTACCTTGCCGTAAAGGGGCGCGTATAAAGGTTATTAACATGACACACGCATCAGATAAGTTCAAGAGTGTCCAGCTGCAGACGCCTGTAGAGTGGAGCTCCACCGGAAATACGT